CCCAGTTTTGGGTGAGCACGGCTATCTCACCACCAGGGACGTTACGAAGATCCTCTGGCACTTCGGGCTTAACACGTTTCGCTCCAAGGACATTCACTTGTTTAACGCGCGGTTTTATACCAAAGAAGCGTTCATTGGCCCTGAGGTCTGCCCTAAGAAGGAAAGGCTACATGATAAATCTCAGATCTTCGCGGGCAGCTGTATTGTGGCACTCCTCTACGTCAAGGACTCGTATGAAGATGTTGGTGATCTTATAACGGTGGAGACTGGTAACAACGGTGCCAATGTTAGGTGCCACTTGCTCTGCAAACCCCGTTTCCTGATGTGACCGAGGCAGTCTTGAAGATACAAATAAATTCTTCCTCCCGTCGGATCTTCAGGTTTCTTTTGGTTCAGCTCTGGTTCAATTGGGGACGTCAGAATCTTCCTCTGTGGCATGAATTAAGTTCTGTTCTTCTCAATTTCCGTCAGGGCCAAAGTAGTGGAGTCTTTCTTGCTTTGTCCACAGCCTCGATGGGACTTTCTCAACTGGGGACCGCTTTATCCTTAGCTTGACTCGTCACTTCAGTCCAAAACGGGCCAGATGGGTTTGTAAATGTCCTTACTCTGCCAAGTTTATGGCCTTCGTTTCAATATGGGAATGCTTGGGATCATGAGTGTCTCGGGGCATGTGGCCCACAGGTCATCTTACAAGGGCTGGGACTGCATCCTTTTCTTATTCTTCTCAATTCAGCTGACGGGGTTCAGTGGGGTTGTTGTACTCCCTTTGTCCAAGCCCTCGTTGTTTCAAGTTCTTTCTTGGGATAGTTTGGCGTTCTGTTTACTTCTTCACTTCAGTACAAATGGGTTCGGCCTGGGATTGTTAATCTCGCCTTGCTGGCCAGGACGTTGACTGCCGTCCGATCACTGATAAAGTGCATCTCTTTTCTCTTTTCTCCATCACTCCATCTCTCGGGCCCAGTCCTTCTGTTGGCCTGGTTGGCATGGCTGCTTTCTGTAGTCATTTTGGTTCAATTAGCTTTGCACGTCTCGCCCCGATCTCTTCTCAAGTTTTGGGAACACACTCATGCTCGCCCCTCAGAGGGTTGTCAGGCCATGGAATTCAAAATCGCTCCAGTGCTGTATCTTCGAGGCATGGGTATCAGTTTGCCCACGTGCACTGGCAATCGAAAGTTCCGAGATTGTTCCTTCAAATTCAGGATCGTACAACCCACGGAGATGTGTCACACTTCACATGTACGAGAAGGGACGCGAATTCGAGATACCTCTGAGGCAGCTATGGAATCTCTTTGAGGCCTTTTTCTCTAGTAAGGCTTGCAAAGACCTTATTGGAATTGTGGGAATTGCAGTACGCTCTATGTCTTTTGTACAGATCAAGACAATGTCGTACAAGGGCGCCGTGTTCTACGACAACCGCTGGTCAGATCCTGGAAATTTCATCTACACTATCTGGTGGAACATTTGGGGCCAAATGGCCAGGTATCTTCAAAGGAGACAACCTACCAGTGCTTCGTCTAAGTCCATGGAGGAGCTTCGATCAGTTGCGGGCCGTGTCACCGATGTACAGAGGATGGTCCGAGAACGGTGGAACAGAGAACCTGACACCTCCCGATGGTTAGAGCTCATCGGAGATTTGATGGAGTTAGGGTTGGGAGTGGGGTATGTTGAGCCTGATCGGTTCTGGAACATCATTGAGGGGATTTCTCCCATCATCGGCTCCATTAGGTCTATCCTGATGTTTGCTGATCAACATGGGTCGTTCGCCAGGACTGGGAAAGACCGTCGCCTTTTTCGCGGCCCATGTGCTCCCCACACTAGGAAGTTTGCCGTGGCAATGTTCCACGGAATGCAAGTACACAAATTCAATGTGACGGAATCCTCTGAGGTTTGGGTATCTTACCTGATGGCAGCCTCAGAGAACAGGCTCCAATACTAATGGAGCGGGGTTTTTGACACCCCAACGGAATTCACATTCGGTCTGTTCCGAGACCATCTTGTGTTCTCTCTTCCTCTTTGTCTCCCGCCTGCGGGATTGGCTGACACCAGGAGATGTCTCTTGTGCGATTCTATCTGGGACCCGCCTGATCTCTGTGATCGTAGGGACACCGTGGCTTCGCAACAATCCCGCCTTCCTCTGTCTGCCTCTGGTGGGCCCTTTCTCGTCCTTGCCCCTGTCGCCCCCTGCAGTCTCGGGCTCAAGCTTTCGGTATGCTACTTCCCAAGGCGTCCGACCCTCACGTTTACTTTCAGGGGAAGCTTTGCAGGTCTAAACGCAAGGTTTGCTTCTTGTCCAAACAAGACCTTGAAGCACTCTCTTACTGCTCCACGCTGCTATTCCAAAGGGCGGTAAAGTTGCCAGCTCGGTTCCTTATTCCTTCGGACCTTGGTGGTCCACATCTTACATATGACTGGTGCAAAATTCCGCTCTTCGAAGCTTGTCGGGACAGCGGCTTTAATAGACTGTATGTAAACGTTAGAGGACCCGACGAAAGGGCTCGGAGGGTTCCTTGGAAAGAACTGGCTGCTGGTCAGTAGCCGTTTCGCCTCAAACCCTGGCGGTAGTCTTGTACGAAACGGCTGGGAACATCCATATACAAGTTAGGGGATGGTCAAACGATGCCTTCCAGCCAAGCTGGAATCCAGGAAGCGTCTCAAGTGGTTTCAAGGTTCTGGTGGAATGTGGAACTACTGTGATGAAGAAAAGGTCTACACCAAAGTCTGGTACACAGAGTACTATGATACGTGGTTCGACCCCGAATCTGGCTGGCCTTACCCAGTGATTTGGTACCTTTCGGACTATTGGTGGGATGGAGACTTCTTTGTGGAAAAGTGGCGTTGGAAGTATCCGTGACTACCATTCTTGGGACTCCCACAGTCTTAACCTCTTGGCATCTGCGGTGCATGGGCCTGCGGCTTTTGGAGGTTTCTCAGTCTCACTTCAATCTCCCGTGCATGTTCTTCAACATTGGTAGTTGGCCAAATACAAACCATAAACATTCCCTGCATCGCGCGTCATACTTGCTTGAATTCAACTACCTCATATGTCTTGGTTCACCTGGAATGGGTCCTCACAGTTGGGCTCACTCGACTTTACAGTTCTATTTTTGTATGCCTCCATATATTCTGGGTCATTGCGTGCTGGGGACATTCAGTTCAATGTCTGGCTTTCTTTCACCACATTTATTCGAATGGGTTATCACTTATGATATTGGGTTTCAAGGGACTCAATGAAAGGTCTCTTTACCCCACTTCTTGATTTGCTCAAGTCAAGCAAGGTATTCGAGTTACTCAAGTTATGGGAGCTACTCAAGTCACTCAAGATATTTTGACCAATCAAGCATAATCCATCACCTTGCATTACGTTTCTCATTGCTCACATCTTCATTCAACGTGGGTGGGTTTCATTCAGTATCCTGGGTTCAATTTAAGATGGGTTTTAATCATTCACGATTTCTTTGAGTATCTCGGGTTTCAATCATGACTTCTGTCAGAATTGGACAGTTGGTTTGCATTCTTGATTTCGTTTAGTTTCATGGGCTTCAATCTTGGGCTGGGATTCTTCTTTGTTCTGCCCCTTTCCCCCCGCCTCTCCCCGCTCTTCCCTCCTTTCCTCTTTCTCTACCGTACGCATTTGGCGTATTGGTGGCTTCTCAGGTTTGTGTTTTGGGAGAACCGACCTTTCAAGGCGCGTCATCATCATCATCATCATCCTCCTCCTTATCCTCCTGCCCCTCCTCCTCCTTCTCATCATCATCACCCCCTCCCTCCTCCTCCCCTTCCCCCCCATCCCCCTCCTGCTCCTCCTCCTCCCCCTCCTCCCCATCCTCATCCTCCATTGTCCGATCTGGCCGATCTCGGTTACATCGGACTTGCCTTGGTCCGTCTGCAGCGGGGGCAGTTGCACGCCGTCGGCGTCGTCGTCGTCAGCTCTGTCGGCGCCCCCACTGCAATCGAATGGGCCCACGGTGTTTCCCTATGAAGCCAGGAGTGGACGGGGGGACGAGATAGGGGGGCAGCAAGGGGGGTAGGTGATGGGAAGGAGGACGGGGGGAGAGAGTTTTTATCAGGTCTGGTAGCGTCGGCCAGTTTTTGCTTGCTTTAGTAGCACGTCCACCACCGTGAAAGTATACTGCGCACGCGCAAGGGTGCCACCCGAACGGCCGTATTGCTGCGCTTGCGGGGGGGGGGGCGCAGTTGTTATCGCATGTCAGGTCCCGAGGGTCCAGCGGTTGTCTCGGGTGACCTTGGGGCGCCAACTCCAAGCCGTCGAGTGGGGGGCCGTTGCATCGTACTTCGTTTCTTGCAACACAGCGCGGTTGTTATGCCACAGTCTAGGTGTATGGGTCCGAATGGGCCCGCCACATTTTGGGTCAGTCTGAGGGGGGTGTTCGGCCGTTTAGGGTGTTCCAAAGTGGCGTCTGTGTGTCTTGGGATGTTCAGCCATCTTGGGGGCCACGTTGGCCCATCTGGGGTGCAAGGAGCCGCTCTCGGCCATCTTGGACTCCGAATCGCCCCCCCTTTGACCCCAGGCCCTAGGACAACAGTGGGCATGGGGGGGTTCCTTGCACAGGTGGCGCGCTCAAAATCAGCGCTTGCATTGCTTAGCTAATGGCGGTGCGGCCGCCTCAGCCCAGATGATCACGCGCATATGCGTCACGCCGCTGCGCCAGCAACCAATCGTTCCCTAGCTCATCTGCCCCCCGCAGTTGCATTGCGTTGCGTTGCTCCACCACCGCGGCGCCACTCTTTGTCGCATTGCTCCCCACTCCTTGGGCCCCCCATCAGCGTTGCATTGCAATGAGGTGGCGGTCCAAAGTTTGCATTGCTTGCCTTTGCTCAGGTATGATGGGGGTGCCAATCGTAGCGCCTATGCGTTGGCTTTCCGTGCGTCGCACGGTAGCCGCTTTGGCTCGGAGGTGGGGCTGCCGCCCCGGCTCGCCGTCTTCCTCGCGGCCAGCAGGCCGCCACGCAGTGAATTGTTGCTGAGAGACCGCCGCCAGATGGGCGGCAAGCGTGCTAGTGGCGCTGCTGCTTCAGCGTCGCGCGGTCCGCCGAAGTCGGCCGCCCGCCGCGGTGGCAGAGGCAGCGCTTGTGCATCGGACTCGGGCTTTTGCCATCGTTGCGAGCAGCCAGTCGACGTCGCGTCGTCGAAGCGCGGCGGGCACCCCACGGCGCCGTGGATCGGCTGCGACAACTGCTGGGTGACCTTCGAGAGGCACTACTGCGAGGACAACGCCTGGCCCGACATCTGCGAGCGCAGCCGCGAGGATCCAGACTTCAGCGCCGAGTTCGGCGCGAGGGCCACTGCGGACTTGGAGCTAGAGAGCCAAGTGGCAACGGCAGCGGAGCGTGGCAGCGTCGAGGTGGCCACGTACTACGGACAGGAGGTCAGCACTTCGATGGTGCAGCTCACCCCGAAGCAGTGGGCTTCACAAGTGGCTCCTCGCGGGACCGTTGGCATCACGCCCGAGATGTGCGACCTGATCCAGTCTCGCGTTCCGTCCTCCTGCCAGCCAGGAGTCAACACCACGGGCGTGATCATCGCAGATCCAGATCAGCCATACGTCAGCATCAGGAACTACACGAGGACAGAAGTGAGGATGGCATCCACCAGGCTGACGCCCCAGCAGGCCGTCAAGGCGGGTGCAGAGACGGACGCCGTCAAGCGGGAGGTGACGAAGCTGCGGCAGCAGCAGGCGGTCGCCGTCAGAGGGTTCGCAAAGGTCCCGACGATCACAGAGCTGCAGAACGTGGCGCTCGCGAAGGCCTCTGCAGCAGGGATGCCCCGCCGCCCAAGGCCAAGGCCGCCGTGGACGATCCCCTCATGGCGATTGGGAACGGCACATTGCATGAGGACGTGGAGTCAGTTTTCCCAGGCGCCAGCGGTGGCCAGAGAGCTGGGGGCGCTGCGCATTCGCCTGCGGGGGCACCCAGTGCTGGGATGGATTCGGGCATCTCTGCCAGCTCCGCGGTCGCTCTACACATCTCCAGTCAGCCCTTAGTCAAGGCGAAGTCGGGCGCGGCGGCTTCGCACCCAGGCCAGGTCACGGTCAGCGATTTGCAGGGGCACCGCCCACCGCCACGGCGACTCGAGTCAGGGGAGGCTCGCGGTTGTAGTCGAGATCGGTCCAGATCCCCAGCGCGGAGTTGTATCTCTGCGGCGGGTGACTCAGCACCTGGGGGCAGGGCCAGCAGCAGGGGTCCGCCTGGCTCTGCTGAGAAGGCGCGCTTCGACGGCTACAAGAACGACCTGGTGATCCACGAGATCTTGGATGGGAGCCTCAGGGGGGACCGATCCTACGGCTTGAAGAGGTTTAAGCCGAAGTCCCCCAGCCTTTCCGTGATGGTGAACAAGCTCACTTCGAAAGTTGAGGCGGCGAGCGCCCTGTCCACCAACATCAGCACCATGCAATGGACCCAGGTCCTCACCCACCTGAAGGAGCTCAGCCCAGACGATGTGGAGGCCACGGCTGTCTTTCGCAAGACGCTCTTGAAGAAGTTCGTGCAGCACTCTATCTCCGATGGCGAGGTGGTCATTGAGACTCTGATCCCGTGGTCTCCCCACCCTGATGACTTCGACATGACTGCCCCCAATGTGTCGTCTATGAAGGGCATGTCTGATAGCGAGAAGGTTGACCTAGTTCGAGAGGTGCTCTTGGATGACATCGTCCTTCCCCAGTTGGAGGATCCTGCGAGGGTCACCTTCCTCCAGGCCATTGGCAAGCTCCTCAAGGATACGTTCCCGAAGCTCGGTGACCAGTGCCCACCCGAGATCGCTGAGTTCTGCAAGCACGTCCAGGCGCTTGGCATGCTACTGTTTCACTTACCGAACAACGACCCCCTGAGCTTCGCGGAGTGTGACCCCCACATGGGCGTGATGATTGCACTCTTGACTGGCGTCACCGACGCTGCCGAGTGGCATCCTGTGGCTGAGGTGCTGGGTAACAGCGCTCCGTGGGCAGACTACAAATCGACCTTCAGGAGGGCAGCCTCAACAGACATTCAGCTTGCCCCCAGGATGAAGAAGACCATCGAACAGCTCGAGACTACAGAGGGCAACACGCTTGAAGGCATCGAGCTCATGAGCACCGTTCTCGTGGAGATCGGGTCGTGGAGAAAGGTGTGCCGCGGGTCATCGAGATCGACAGGCGGCGCAGAGATCGTCATGCAGGGCAGGCTCGAGAAGGCCATCGCAGACCTCCTGGGGACGACCGCAGATTCAGTGGACGTGAAGGTCGGGGAGGCGCTGATCGAGCTGTACTCCAAGTTCGCACGCGTGAAGGGGTTCGAGCCCGACACCGCGGACGACCCGTGCGGAAGCAAGTACGGTGATCTCATCAACCACGTGGACCACGCATCGAGGTGCCGTGTCGAAGGCAGCTTCAGGAATACCATCGAGAAGTACAACACTGGGGCTAACTGCCATCAGGTGGCCACTGAGATCAAGGCGTTCGTGGAAGAGAACAAGGGCATGCAGATGCCGCTGCTGGTGGACGCCGAGCACCTCGTCAAGGCCACTCTCCACGTCGCCGATCACATCGGCCTCCTGCTGTACGACGCGCAGCTCGACACGCTGGGAGCCGTCGGGGACCTGATCCAGGATGCGATCGACAAACACGCGCTGGCCGCCACGATGCTGTCCTGCGTCACGCCTGACCCCTCGTTCAGGCCCAGCCTGGACGCCGTTTCAGACCGCCTCGCCGACACGTTCTCGGTCATCCAGGTCGCGAAGTACGCTGTGGCCTTCTACGAGACGGGCGACGAGGACGCCGCCGAACTGCGCAGTGCTTGGGAGCGGCTGGACAGTTCCCTGGACGACGGCATCCCATGCGCCTCGAAGCCGCACGATGACATCCTGCAGGAGCTTGGCTGTTCCAAGTATGAGGGTTTCGTTGCTCGGGCCGAGAAGTGGCACCAGGTGGCCAAGGACCTCTGGTCCGAGTATGCGCAGAGCCAGATGGACCAGCTGCTCGACGAAGGGCGCGTGCTCTTCGCGGTCTTGCAGAAGTTGTCGGGAGGGATGTTGAACGGCAGCCACTTCATGGACGGTTTCGCTGGGGAGGCGACTGACTTCGCTCAGACGATCGGCCACTTGAAGGTGGGGCTCTTCAAGCAGACGGGGGTCTCGAACAGGCTCAAGGACGCCTACCGTGCTGTGCAGCACAAGCTCGGACGCGCCGTCGAGGAGTCGAAGCGCTTGAAGGTGCCACTCGAGAAGTGGCAGGCCACTCATGGCCAGTGGCGCGATGGCCTGGCGAAGGCCGACGTGACGTTGACGACGGCAGCCATCGCCCAGTGCGCGAAAGATCGCAAGACTGACGAGGTCACCAAGGCCAACCTCCAGCGCGCGCTGGACCAGATGCAGGCCAGGAAGGTCAGCATCGAGTCGCTGCCAGCATCCGTTTGGGAGCAGGCGCAGCAGACGCTGGCTGCTTGAGGCGCCGTGGCGCCCGCAGGCGGCCGCCGTCAGAGGAGGAGGAGGAGGCGGAAGAAGAAGACAAGGAGGGGGAGGAGGGAGGGAGGAGGACAGGGGGGAGGAGGACGAGGAGGAGGAAGACCAGGAGGAAGGACTCAGCAGACGAGCAAGACGGCGGCGAGCACGGCGGGCAGCAACAGCGCGCTGCTCCTCCTGACCTTCCGCCGCTCGCTGCCGCCGCTCGCCGCCGCCGCTTTTTCCCTTTTCCCTTTCTCTCCTTTCTGCTTTTCCTTCCCTCTCTCCTCCTTCCCCTCTACCTCGCCCCGCCGCCTTCCTTTTGACCTCCTGCTCCCTCGGCCTCCCTGCTCTCTCGGCCCTCCTGCCCCCTCCTGCTCTCTCGGCCTCGGTCGGGGTGGACGTCGATGCGAGCGTCGATCGAGCAGTCGCGGGCCGTTTCGCGTTCAGTCGAGGCGGCCATGGTTCATTTCATGCGCCTCGGCTGGGCGCGGAACAGTCCATGGCTGTTCTGTAGGCCACCCAAGGGAGGCCATGACTACATCGTAGGCCGCAGGGTAGGGCCATCAAACCCCATGGCTAATTTCCTCCATCAAAACCCATGCCAGCCCCCACAACCACATAGACAGCCAAGTGAAGTCTCAATCCCATGGGTCTACCCAGCCTTTCGGTAAACGAGCAGGCTCGGCTGGACGTGGGCAACCGACCTTCAAATTCACTTGTAAGGTCGTCCGATTGGCTGCCAGGTGGAGGGCGGCCGTATTCCTCGAGAATCCAGCAGGCCCCCCTGTGGCACGCACCGGAGCTGGCCAAGCTTTTGCGCGCGAGCTCGGCCAAAAAGGTCCAGCTGCACGTATGCCAGCGCGGGGCGCCGTGGCGGAAGGCGACCAGCGTGGCGGCCTGGCACTCGCTCCCGCTGCTGACTCTCGGGCTGCTTTGCTCGGGTCGCAAGGGTATCTGTTCGCGGACGCAGAAGCTTCATGTGATACTATCTGGGCACGCGCCTCAGGGTCCTCACTTCACAAGTCTTGATGCAGAGTGCCCCAAAGCGTTTGCTCGGAAATTCAGTCGGGCGATGCAACGATCATTCGAAGATAGGCGGGTTCGAAAGTTTGCTAAGTACGCAATTGATGTATCATTGGGGAGTTGAATTTGTGCATGTTGGAGTTCGGCCTCCTTGTTCTCTCTACAAGTCTGCCAGTTCACCATGCAGGTATGGGCGCGTGCTCTCGGCTTGGCGCTACTCGGCATCGTTTCCTCGAAGCTGTTGGCCTGGTCAGCCCATCACAAACAGAGCCTGGCGGGAGTGAACGGTAGGCGAGCTGTCACACTTAACATGTTTAGGCATAGCCCATCCTGGATCCCGCCGCATGTGCCGCGCTCAAATCTCTCCTTCCTCCCTCCCTCTCTCGCGTGTGTCTGTGGTTGTGTGTCTGTCCTCTGCCATCCTCTTCTCCCCCTTCCTCTCTTTCGTTGCTCAGCAAACTGTAAACGCAACTTCTTCTATGCAGGGTGTGTGCTCTCGGCTTGGCGCTACTCGGCATCGTTCCCGCGAAGCTGCTGGCCTGGTCAGCCCTTCGCGCAAAAAGGGCCTGCCGGGAGTGAACGGTAGGCGAGCTACACACATACACACATATGTACATATATATATATATATATATATATATATGCTCAGCCCCCCCCCCCCCCCCCCCCCCCCTCTCCTCCCAGCACCCCGCCCCCTCAGCGAGCGACCACTCCGATGATCGTCCTCCTCCTCATCCTCATCCTCCCCTCTTTCTCTTTTTTTTATTCCTCTTCGCTTCCTTTTTTTCCTCTGTTCTCTTCATCATTCTCCCTCCGCTTAGACCGCGCCTCCTCTTCCCCGCCCATCATTGGGCCAACCTGCCCGCGGCGAACCCCGCCACCGGGCCTGCGCAACAGCGCAGCAGGAAGAAGGCTGAGCGCATCAGAAGGACGCGGGCGACGAGGACGAGGAGGAGGAGGGCGAGGAGGGGGGGGAGGAGGATGCCGCTTGGAACGCCGAGGAGGAACCCAGGAACCCAAGAGGAACCCAGGGCCCAGGAACCCAGGGGGAACCCTACTGCTACTACTACTACTACCACCACCACTAGTACTACTACTTCTACTTCTACTTCTACTACCATTACTACTACTACTACTACTACTACTACTACTACTACTACTACTACTACTACTACTACTACTACTACTGATATTATTACTACTACGACTACGACGACGACTACGACTGTGCCCGAGGCGTGCACAAAGCGGCGTGCACACCCTGCGCTCGCGGCGCGCACGCGGAGTCGTTCAGCGTCGACAAGCTTCGCGAGGCCCCATGTCGATGCCGCGCCACCACCTTCGAAAGCGAGCGGAACGGTCGGAGTGAGGAGGGGTTCTGCGAGGAAGATTAACCATTCGACAAAATCGACCACCACTCAAGAGCACAAGCCACGCGACGCAACGATTCATCCGACCGCTGCCGACCACGCGGTCGAGATGCGATCGCGCGAGCGGCGGCCCTCAACGGAAGGCAACCAAAACGTGCGCGGGCACCTCGGGCGGCTATCAGTCGCCGCCAGTCGCCGCGCTGCCAGCCGGCGCGCGCGCGGTGCATCGAGCCCACGGTGCTGAGGTCGATGAAGTTGACGTCGTCCTGCGGCGGGTTCCCGAACGCTCGCCCGGCGAAGTGGCGAAGCACGGGCGGGTTCCAGCCCCGTCCGAGCCGAGAAACTGCGCCTGCGCCGAATTCGGGGCGGGGCAAATGACGGCTTTGCAAAAAGGCCCCCCTTGCATCCAAAACATCCTGGCTCAGATCTGCGCAGTGCAAGCATGCAGCGCAGAGCGACGCAGAACACAGATCAGATATTTACTTGGCAATGTCTGGGAACCGAGATGGTGACACTATACCACGAAGAACCACGATGACATAGAGACTTGACGTGCGACTATGAGTGGCGACAATGCGCGTACCAAGAGGACCAACAGACTACAGGGGAGTCAAGAGAACGACAAACTGATGGAATAGGACAGCAACCAATTGGAACGCTAATTTAGAATGTCAATAACGCGTCCGATAAATGAGCTTGCATGAAACATGTCCTGCACCGTGGTATGGATCACTGTGGCGGGGTCGTAACCGACGGGCGCCAAGTCGACGTCTCCGTATATGAATTTCGGGCAGCAGATTATTGCGCGCTCCGAATCAGCTGGCCTTCCCGCCGCCATGCAACGACAGTTCCCTTTTTAAGCAATATGTTACCTGTTGCGTGGAATCGGAGGGCGGGGGGTGATTGGGGCGCCCGCCAAGGCAGATCACATCGAGGCGGCGATTGCATTGACGTCTCGGGCAAGCTCACCGCTCTCCCGCAGCAGCCGCACCCTCACAAACAATATGCGAATCCGCGCACATTTCGCCCAGGCGTTCTCATGTCATTCGCCCGACATATCGCAGCGCGGGTGGCATCTACATGAAGAGTTGCAATGTGAAAGCCCCTCTGGTCTTAAAAACCACTTCCGCCCAACTGGCGCAGACAGCGGGCGTAAACGCGCACCCTGCGCCCAGTCACTCTCACTCCGCTCGCCGCGCCTGTCGCCGTTGGACCAGTCCGCCTGGCCGCCCGGCTGGTCGCCCGCGTCGCCATCGCGCCCCGCCTCGGCGTTATTGATGACCGACTCCAGTGCGTCTTCCAGGTCGACGTCGTCGTCCACGGCGAGGGTCTCCCCGTGCGCTTGCGCAACCATGGACGCGAAAATCGCCCGCTGCTCCTGGAGGTCCACAGGTCAGAGCGGCCCGCCGCAGGCCAGGCCTGTCTGCCTGGTCTTCCTCGGCGGGGTGACCAGGTCCTCCTGTGCGCCGTGGTGGATCTTGGCTAGGCTGCGGAAGATTGCCACTTGCTCCCGCTGGTCCTCATCAGAGAGCTCACCGCGGCCTGTTCTGCGCTGTGGCCCAGTGCTCACAGGCGTCCGTCCGCCTCTTGTTGAAGAACAACCACAAGATGACAGAGGGCATTGACTCTGCGCTGTGCGTGGCCCGCGCCAAGTGCGCCAACTCCCGCGAGAAGAGCATCGTCTTCGGCAACGACCAGGACGGCAACGCGCTCGAGTGGGCGGACGTCGAGGCGGACGATGTCGACGCGGCGAAGGGCGAGGGCCCGAACGTTGGCCCCCGCACGCAGAAGCCCATCAACTGGGAGCAGCGGGGCGGCATCGCGCAGCGGGGGAACCCCAGGTCCTTGGTCCTCTTCAGGTTGAAGCCAGAGAAGGCCAAGCGTAGGGCGCCTGGCCCTGGCCCGATTCGGAAGAGAGATTGGGCGCCCATGGCGGCCAAGTGGCTAAATCACAGCCGCGTCATCCCCCACGCGGACGGGGCGAGGTCCTACAAGATGAAGGCCGACGGCGTCTTGCACGATTGGGTTGTGCACAAGAAGAACAGGGCGCAGGTTGGCGGGGCGCGGGCGCGGCTCAAGCCAGCATTCACGAGTATCCGCTACCACAGCGTGCCTGGCCAGAGCAAGTCCAGCGGGGCGAAGCGCCTGCGGGTGAAGCGCGGCACCCAGGTGATCGACCGCGCGCGGGGCGACCTGCGCAAGGCGGTCGGCAAGGGCATTGCGAAGACGGTGGGGTCTGTCTTGCTCCGCAACAAGGCAGGCCAGATGAACGGCGTGCAACGCGTTTGTTCGCGTTGGCGCCGCCCCATGCAATCTTCGGCGCAGCTGGGCGCCGCCCCGGGGGGGGTGGAGGCGTTGCCCGGCGCGGGAAAGGTCGGCGGGTGGCTTGTGTTGAAGTCTGGAGAGGCGGCCCAGCGCGACTTGCGCAGTTGCGGCCCGCTCTCTGGCCTACGCAAGGTGCGCTCCTTCCAGCGGGCGCACAGGGACCGCGGCAGGGACCTCTGGCTCGCCACGGGCCAGATGCTCCGCGACGCGTGGGCCAAGGACCACGCTCAGTGAGCTCTCTCGCTGAGGCATCCGAGCCCGCTTGGAGCTCGGCGCGCAGGAGCG